GTATGGCTGTGGTTATGGTGTTCTCTCTCTTCCCCCCCCCCCCTCTCTCTCTCTCTCTCTCAGCTTCCTTATCTCTCCCTCACCTTCTCTCTCATCTTCCCCCCCCTCCCCATCTACCTCTCCCCCCCTCCCTCCCTCTCTCTCTCTTTCACTCTCTCTCTTTCTCTCTCTGTCTCTCTCACTCACTCACTTACTTTCTCTCTCTCTCTCTCTCTCTCACACACACACACACACACACACACACACACACACACACGCACATGCACACGCACACACACACACACAAATAGCCTGCAAAGAAACTAATATGTTCTCAGAGTCCTCTCTACATCATCTTAAGCAAAGTCAGCTGTACATTCTACTGTTGTTATGAAGTTTTCTTTTCACAAAACTGAACAAAAATTAAAGCAAACTTAAAACATTTCAAACAATGAACAAACACGAAAAAAAATACACCAAAACAAATAAAACAAAGACGGGCAGATCCTCAGTCCCAAGTACTGACCGTGGCAACAGAGCCATGAAGCAGGTGAGGATGACGATGGCGGAGTGTATGGCCGTGGCTATGGTGTTCTCCATCACCCAGTACGGGTTGGACGGGTGGTCAAAGGTGAAGAATATGGCGTTGGAGATGAGCAGGAAGCTCCAAAATAGGGCGAAACTCAGCACCACCGAAGCCCACTGTAGCCATACCTGTTGGGGGGAAAGGGGGAGGGGATGGAGGAAAGACAACCGGGTAATGATTACTGCACTGGGATGTATGCTCGCTCATTTTGCGATGGTCAGAGAGTAATAACCAATTTCATCTTATTTCTAAGTTTGAGGTGGGGGGGGGGGGGGAGAAGGAGAGGAGAAAGGAAAGAATAGGGTTTTTAGTTAAGTATGAGTAAAGGGACACGACAAAGATCTCCATCTCGTATTTGTGGATCAAGAAAAAGCCTTTGATCAAGTAAATAGAAACAAGCTATGGAAGATCCTGGAGCAGTAAGACATCAAGGGACAACTGCTAGACAACATCAGGGCTATCTCTGCTAACAGCAGAAGCGCAGTCCGCACTACCAGTGGAACATCGGACTAGTTTCAAGTAACATCCGGAGTCAGACAGGGCTGCAATCTCTCCCCTCTGCTATTCGTGACCTACATGGACCAGATTACAAAGGAGGCCAATCCAGACCCAGAGGCACTCAATGAACATTTGTTTGCAGACGACCTTGCAATGATGAACAACAAGACCCAGCTACAGGAGCATATGAACTTCTCCTGAAACATCCCAATATCCCCATGAGCACCAAGGCGAAGCTCATCAACGCCATTTTTCTTCCAACACTCACATGTCAGTGCCAGACATGGTCCCTAACAAAAGCCCTAGAGAGGAAACTGGTCACATATGAGAAGAAATGCTTAAGGGGAGGGGCTACACCCCCAAAATCAAAATTCGGCTCAAAATCATGGAATTTGAGTTGTAGGCCTTTTTAGCTTTCTCAGCCTCTCCTACAACTATTTCATGGCATAAGAACCCCCAAAAACCGTATTTTTTCCCATACCAGGCATGTTTGTAACCGCCATTTCCTCATAAAGTCAGTATTTTATTTTTCTTTATCGACCGTTTTTTCAAAATGCGACTTTTCTCTATATTTTTTTGAATAACTCCACCATTTTTCATCCAATCTTCATGAAATTTTCACAGAATGAAGAGAAGAGGTAATACTAAAAATTTGTCTGTTGAATTTTTGGTATATGGAATAGATTTTTGTTGATGGTGTCTGGAGTGTGGATTTTCACGGATTTTTTGCAAACTTAAATGCTACCTCAGGAAAAAATTCAGTAAAAATTTTCTAATTCGATTAGGAAAAAAACAACAAACAAACTTTTAGATCTAATGTTTGTAAACACGCATGCAAAAAAGCAATCATTTTCCATGAGCGATAAGTGCGGTATTCATTACGTAAGACATGTCAATAAAATCCAATATGGCGGCGTATCCATGGAAACGAAACTTTTTTCTCTAATTTGATTGCGGATTTTAAGACTCCTTACTATGCTTGTTATATGTGTGAAACTTGGTAAAATTCGGTCCAGTAATAAGCGAGATAGCCTCCAGGTGTAGCACCCCCCCCCCACCCCCTTAAGAAGAGCGGTCAACAAAACAAGAAGAGACAAAATTAAAAATGAAGTCATAAGGGACACTGTAGGAGCAACACCAGTCCTACCACACATTGAAAAACAAAAGGTCAAGTGGTTCGGACACCTCACGCGGATGCCCTCAAACCATCCAGCTCTGAGAGCATACAACATTAAATATTCTGGATGGAGAGCCAGAGGAAGACCAAGGCGACGATGGAGTGAATCTGTGGCCGACACCCTCAGAGCTCATGGGATGTCC